AATACTAAATCACAGCTTTTCCTCTAGAATCCACCTTCAAACCACTCGTATCTATTCAAAAATGACTCAATAATATCAAATATTGCTAAAGGAATCAATTACATTGCATAAATTTAGATTTCCCAAATTTTCCTCCAAAAAGTCGAAAATTGACCCCGGGCCCGCTTGGTCAAAACCCGAGGTTCAGACCAAAATCCATTTACCCATTCACCCTCGAGCCCGGATATATAATTGGTTTTGGAATCCGACCTCAATTTGAGGTCTAAATCCCTAAATTTCCGAAATCCCTAATTTCTACCCAAAACCCCTAATTCTACCATGAAAACCTTAGATTTTAGGTTGAAATCTTGTAAAATGTAGTGAAAGATTGAAAGAAACCAGTTTAGAATCACTTACCTATGATTTGGGGAAGAAATGGTCTTTGAAAAATCGCCTCTTGTGTTTTAGGTCTTGAAAATTAGGGAAATGAATGAAAATTCCCGTCCAAAAGTCATTTTGATCAGCTGCAGATGTCGCATTTGCGACCTGAGCTTCGCAAATGCGAAGGAGTCATCGCAAATGCGAAGCCCTTCACACTTCTGCAGCCTTCGCAAATGCGAAGATAAGTTCGCAAATGCGATCTTGAATCTTCGCAAATGCGACTAAATGATCGCATTTGCGATCACTGCCCTTCCCCGACTCCCTTCGCAAATGCGAAACCTGTTGCGCAAATGCGAACCTCTCAGAGGTCGCAATTGCGATGCCTGATCTCGTAAATACGAGATCAGAAGCCTGCAATAATATCAGATGCACCAGCAGTGTTTTCTAAGCCAAATCTCACTCAGTAGCCTATCCGAAATTCACCCGAGCCCTTGGGGCTCTAAACCAAAGGTGCACACAAGTCTAAAAATATCATACGAACTCGCTCTCGTGATCAAATCGCCACAATAACACCTAGAACGACGAATTTAGCACCAAACCAAATGAAATTCTCAAGAACACTTTAAAATTTCTATTTTCTCAACTGGACGTCCGAATTATGTCAAACAAACTCTGTTTCTCACCAAATTTCACAGACAAGTCTTAAATATTATAATGAACCTGTACCGAGCTCCGGAATCAAAATACGGACCCGGTACTAACAATGCCAAACATCAATCAATTCTTAAAAATATTAGATTTTCAGACTTTTAATTTTCATCAAAAATTCATAACTCGAGATAGGGATCTCCGAATTCGATTCCGGGCATACGCCTAGGTCCCATAATTCGATACGGACCCACCGAGATTGTTAAAATACGGATCCAGGCCGTTTACCAAAAATATTGACCGAAGTCAACTCAACTGAAGTTTTAAGACAAAAATTTTTATTTTTATCAGTTTTTAACATATAAACCTTCCGGGCCAATACCCAGACTACGCACGCAAATCGAGAAGGGTAAAAATGAGATTCTTAAGGGTTAAGACCGAAGTCAACACAACTGAAGTTTTAAGGCAAAAATTCTTATTTTTATCAGTTTTTAACATATAAACCTTCCGGGCCAATACCCGGACTGCGCACGTAAATTGAGGAGGGTAAAAATGAGATTCTTAAGGGTTAAGACCGAAGTCAACACAACTGAAGTTTTAAGGCAAAAATTCTTATTTTTATCAGTTTTTAACATATAAACCTTCCGGGCCAATACCCGGACTGCGCACGTAAATTGAGGAGGGTAAAAATGAGATTCTTAAAGCTTAAGAGCGCAGTATCGAATTCAAAAATATAAGATGACCTTTTGAGTCATCACATAGTATATCTACAAACTAAAACAACCGCCCTCTACTCAATTGGTTATAGTCTCGTGATGATAACGTGTTATAAAACAATAAAAGAAGAAGAGGAGTATTGCAGAGAAAAGTACAGAGAGAGAATTCTTATTGATTTGGGATGAAATTACAATGGAATAGAACCCTTCTATTTATAGAGAAAAAGTGACTTAGCCACCAAGTAACAAATTCTAAAATCTCTCTAAAATATAGATATTCACCATAAATAAATTACTATTTATAACAAATGCAATATTATCATGCTAATATATTTTTTTAATCATTTGCGCATCGCGCGGATTCTAATACTAATTATACTATAATAATGAAGATGGTGAAGGGTGACTTTGTTTCCATGATGAAGGGAATTCACTGTTTGGGAAGGTTTCCGTGCTTGGTAATAAATGAGTAAGAAATAAATGTCCTTTATAAAATTAGATTGGGCGCTTTCAATATATCATCTATATCTATACTATATTAAAAGCACCAAAACCCTTAGCGAAATGTCGTTCGCCTTTTTTACTCTTTAAAAATATATTTATATTGGACAAAATAGTAATTTAGTTATTTTCCTAATAGGTAAGAATATTCATTAATTATTTTTCTAATATGTAGGGACAATCATTTAATTAATTGCCTAATATTAAGACTTTGATATGGAAAATCATATAATTACCTTTTTGTTGTAAAAAATTTAGTTTAAGAGTCCTTGACGAGCTCTTTTTTTTTGGTTAAAAAGTTTTAGGTTTAGTAGTGTTTTCTTTCTTTTTCAGAACTCATTTTCTTCGTATAATTATGTAATTTGATTATACAATGAACTACAGTAATTTATTCTTTTCTAATCTATTGAAAATAATTCATATAATATTTATTATTAATTCAAAAATAAATAATTTGCATTTTACTCTTGAAAAAATGGTTATTTTCTATAATATCACTGTAATCATTTAATTAGTTCATATAATATTTATTATTAACTGTATTATATGTTGGATAAAATTGTCAATACAAATAAAATATCTTCTTGAAAAGAATTGCCGTAAGATAAAAAAGGAAGAATAAAAGAAAAGAAAGTAGGAAATTTCTTCTTAATTAATATCCCTAATGACAGAGAAGGTAAAAGTCGGTCCTTTGATAGCTTGCAGGGAAAGTCAATATTTTCGAAGGAAAAAAGCTAAAAGATAAGACAATAACTACGAAAGTCAAAAATTTCGTAGTTTATAAAGAAAAAAGAACAAGACAATAAGTAGAAAACTCATTAATTAATGTCCCTATTAGAAAAGTCAAATTTTGTAGGTTAAAAAGGAAAAAAAGAATAGATAATAAGTAGGAAACTTATTCTTTAATATCAAAATTAAGGAGTGTAAAAAAAACGGTTAATATCCCAATTTTTATTTTCCATGAACACTTTCTTTTAGTTTTTTGGGTGGTCACTAATTTCATCTACCTATTTTGTTTGTAAGTCAACTTGTTAAATTAGAATTTTAAAACTAATTTTTTTGTAGAAAAAGGAGTTAAAAACTTCTATAAAAGAAGCTAATATTTTATATTTATTTAAAATTTTTTTTGTCATTCCTCTATTTTTTGTTAGCTTTCCTAATACCAAACAAAAAGAAATTTGCTCTAGAGATAACATTTTGTTAATTAGTTGACATTGTCTGTGTCATGAACTTAAGATTATATATCATTCAAAAAATATTAGAAAAAACTCTTAAATCTTCAAGAGTTTATGTGTTCTTGCTAAAAAAAATATGAAAACTTGAAAAATAATAATGAAATATAAAGATAAAATAAATTTTTAGTTGAATATATAGACCAAGATAATTGAGGACTTTTTAGTGTCATCATTTTTCTTTATTGAGTTAGCTAAATATGATCGAGAATCATTTTGAAGAACTTACTTTTTTTTTTATGTAACTATTTTATAGCTCAAAGACTATTCGTTAATATAATATTGACGTAATTTTTAAAATTATGTACTTATTAAGACGGGATACACGTGTAACTCGCGTACCCTAAGACTAGTATATTTATAAAAGTTTTAAGTTTTGCTTGCACATGGAATTTAAGTTATATGTATCGGCAATGTAAATAACTTTTAACTATCAGGTCACTCAAAGAATATCTACATATAAAATAAAAATAAAATAAAATAAAATAAAATAGCAAACCTCCTAGAGATATGACATTTGTGATTAAAAATAAGATAGATCACCTGCTTAAAATAAAAAGTAAACATGACCTAAAGGCGTAAACTTCCTTGGGTTAAAGACTGCGAGGGCCTGCCTAAATCCCACCACCCTACACTTGCTCAGTTTAAAACACTATGCGCTCAATCTGAAAGAGCTAAAGTCCAAGACGTAACTCCATAATTCTTTTTCAACTTTCCCCATCTATTACCCAAACCCCACAAACCAACATCCACGCCCACCCTAAATAGAAATATTATTAATATTACTTTCTTTTTATGATATAAAAAAATATTTTTTTTATTTTAACAAAAAAAAGTATTTTCCTTTTATGATGTACAAAAAATATTTTTTTTTATTTCAACAAAATAACGTAGTAAAAAGTATTTTTTTTCATTTTAACAAAAAGAGTACTTTCTTTTCATAATGTAGAAAAAATATTTTCTTTCATTTTAATAAAACGAGATACTTTCTTTTCATGATGTAAAAAAAGTATTTTCTTTCATTTCAACAAACTGAGTATTTTCTTTTTATGATATAAAAAAAATAATTTCTTTTCATATTGTAGAAAGGATACATTCTTTTTCAACAAAACAAAGTATTTCCTTTTTAGCTATCGAGCTCAAATTTCAACATTGTTCTCGTGTGAAAAAGTAAAGTAGACATTAGTTCCTTTGAGTTCTTGTAAATTATTGAATAAAATTGAGTCCGGGGGTGGAGAAGGGGGGGGGTGTGTGTGTAGGAAACATGGGGATTTTGAAGGTGGGTTGAGGAGAGTAGCATAAAAAATTATTTTACTAAAGATATTTTACTCTCTAACCAAACACTGAAAAATATTTTCCGGAAAAAGTTTTTCACTCACCAACCAAACAAGGGAAAATAAGTGATAAAACCACTCATTTCCCAGGAAAACATTTTCCTTACTACCAAACACACCCTATATCTATGATCATTTCTCCTTTATCATGATGCTTTTATTGATAAAGGATAATCGGAAGAAACTTGAACAAATTATGATCTTAGGGATGAGGATAATCAAAAAATTATATTATAGTCAACTCTAGACATAGTTTAAGGTTTTAAGCCAATACAACAATAAATGCATACTTATGTCATACATGTATGCGACAGAGATAGCTTTACTGAAGACACTGATACTACTGAGAATAAAATGAACAAAGATCCTACATGCTTCAAAGAGTACGTCAACTGATGATACTTGTATTTTACACAAAGCAAACTAGAAAACAAAGAGAATGTTGCAATTTCCAAATCTAAGGGCCTCGAAAACTGTCTGCTTTATCCAGTCTTGAGATACCTGAGCTTGAGGATTCTCCCATTATATCAGGAGAAGGTGCTGGACGTGTTTCCCGCTTCAAAGAAGTTGGCAATCCTGAAACTTCCTGGAAAAGAATTAAAAGGAGTAACAGTTCTTATCTACACAATTCAATGACTAGGAGAAATGATCTCATTTTGAATTCTTTGTTCCATTTCTTTAAGAATACATAGTATTACCAACCACCGTAAGAATTGAGATGACTGATTTCCCAGTGAACATCAAAAAGCAAACAATTATACGGTATTAACATCAATGTTTGAGAAGTTGTGCAAATATTTGAGCAAATCAACAACTCTAGCTAAATCAAATCCAGATACAACAACAACCACCCCAGTGAAATCCCACAACTGGGAGGGTAAAGTGTACGCAGACCTTAACCCTACCTTATGGAGGTAGAGAGGCTGTTTCCGAAAGACCCTTGGAAACAAATCTAGATGCTGCTGGAAGTACAGGCCTTGGACATAGAGTATTGCTATGATTCCTTTAGACACAAAATACCAGGCGCAGAATGTTATCTTTCCTCTTCAAAATGCAATGACGTCACTATTTTAATCTTAAATGCAGGTATCTGTGCTCTTATGAAGCATCACAACATATAAGAATGTAAGAATCATTTTCCTCTGAACTTATTTCATTTTAGGGGTTATAAGAAGAAAAAGGTAAATGCATCAGTTCAATCGTTACGGACACAGTACAATGCCTCGCTCTTAGAGGAGGCCTTGAGTCGTGCTTAGTTTAATATGGTATCAGTAGCTGTAGCTGCTTCCAGTTAGTTCAACAATTTCTTATTTGGCAAAGCACAGTTTGAAGTTTCACTGCGACATAAAGTTGCAACATAGAAGATGAAGTTACATCATGCATTAGAAACCCCAGATGAAGGAGCATATTTAGGATGCACCGCTAATTAGACCTATCAAACTGTTCTTACTGATGGGATCCGGAAAGAACAGTAGGCTGATTTCTGTTTCCTTGTTGTTCTGTTCTTTTTCTGTACCATCTTGGCACCATTCAATAAAATCTTTATCTTATCCAAAAAAAAAAAAAATTTTCTTACTGAACTTGGATCACATAACAAATGAAGATTATGTAACAATAACCTTAGATTTTTACCTTCTGTTCAGTTTCATGCTCAAAGTCGGAATGAAACTGTTGCACAGGGTTACATGCAGCAGTCTTTTTTTTTTTCTTTTCAAAACAATGCAGCAGTTTTCATTAAGAAAAATATGGCAACTTACAGTAGAATACTATAAGGAGAACAACAAGTAAGGACAAGATGGGACCAAATCCAGATTTGGTGCAGTGATGAGGACAAGGAGTAAAGAAATGGCAAAAGAAAAGAGAGTTGGGAAAAAAGCGGAAGCAGAAAACAAATAGTTCTTTCACTTGTCCCTAATGGCTGCTGTGCTTTTACATGCTGTTAGAAATTTGTCAACTATGAGTCATTATTTGGTTGAAATGGCTGAGATCCTCAAATTTGAGTGGTTATCACACGTTGTACTCATGAGATTGTTCCCATGTGACACTGATACAACAAAAAAATTCATTAATGCACCTTACCTTCATCAAATGCAGTCTCAAGTCACAAGGTCGAACTTGATTACCAATACAGGCCATCACAAAATTTGAATATTGAAACAAGACATCTGCAGCAGCTTGCTTCTTTTCTTCAACCTGGAATTTTATATGAGAGTTAAAGCTAATAGCACAATATAGAGATGAAATTTGCAAAGGATCCTCATGCACATTGCATGGTAACCAAACACAAACTTTTCAGCAAGCAGTGGTCACTCCTAAAATAAGGAAAATATTTTCAGATAACTAAAGTCAGCGATAAAATCTTATATACATGGCCAAGCTTCTAGCCATGCTTATTTCCATCTTACAGGGGTTATGTCAATTATTTATGCACCAGCGGCGTCCCTAATACATGTATCAAAAACCCAAAACCCATGACTACAGATGCTTAACAAAACAATAATCATCAAACCAATCCCAAGGAGAATTGTTTCTTAAGGTAAATAATTTAATCACGTGGGAAAAACTCCTGTATACAAACCGTATACCAAAAAATAGAGAACATACACAATAACATGGTCTGCTAATGTCACTCAATACAAAAAGCTTCATGGCTACAGCAAAAACTATAAAAAAATTATGCCTATATTATACAAGACGCTTATTTTGCAGTCAAACACTTCCATCAATCCTTAGAGAGGTGAAGAAAACTCTCTCACTTAGTGGGTATTTCCACTTTCAACTATTAACAATCAAATTTTCCTATACAGAATTTTATTACTGCCAAAAGATGTAAATCTTGATTATCCTTTTTCAAGTTGATTACCGGTTCCTTTCTTTAGCTAGGCAGTTCACCAATTTGAACTAGTCATAGTTTCAATCTGAGGAAATAAATCTCCTTTTCTTTTTGTTAGCTTTTTTAAAGAAAGATTAAGGGAGGATTTGCCTCCTAAAGCCTTCACCTATTGCAAACCCTGCAATTGCCTTTAAGGAGGTGATCTATGACCAGATAAGGCAAAGCTAGAATCTAGAAATCAAAGTCACTACTTGCTCGAAACACTTCTTCCCATTAGCCTAAGCTTTGGTTGGCAGTGTTACCTGGTACCTATATCAAATACCATCGTTATTAAAAAACCCACTTTTGAAAATTACCTAATTTTGATATATTCTTTTTAACCCAATTTTGATAATCATTCTAGACTCAAATGCTACTAAGGCCACAGGATTTCGAGATCCAACAACAACAACATACCCAGTATACTCCCATACTAAGGGTAGTATGTACGCAAACGTTACCCCTACCTAGTGCATCAGTATTCCAAGATCCAAGGCTCAAGATAGTTTCTTCCATGCTTATGGGTAAGTTATGTTTGGAACTACTGGTTCCAATTGACAAACAAACCAACTTTATTGTCATCTTATATGGCATCACTTCTTCCAAAAAAAAAAAAAAAAAAAAAAAAAAAAAAAAAAAAAAAAATTACAGTTAGAATTGTTCAACTGCATCCGAGATAAGGACTAAATTTTTTAATAAACTTGAAAGAAAAACACAAAAGGGGTAATAAGAAGCTCCAGTTAAAGCTTCAAAAAACACAAACAATGTCGAGTCTCTATAAAAACCAAAAGCAGAAGGTTTAAAGTCGCAATCGAGAATCAAATCAAAATACCTAGTGTTACATAGCAAAAGGATATCAGACTCAATATAGATGAAACAGTTAACAGGAAAACGGCAGAAAGCAGAAAGGTTGGTACCTCGTAATCGTCCTTCATCATGCCTGAAATATGGGTTTTCTTCCTCCTGCTTCTCCCTCAAATCCTAAATTAACCTCAATTTTAATATTGAGTATATTTGTTTTTATAAGTATATTTCTAGAGAATCACCAATGGCCCATTAGCTCAGTTGGTTAGAGCGTCGTGCTAATAACGCGAAGGTCGCAGGTTCGAGACCTGCATGGGCCAACGTTTGCTTTTTGCTTTTTTTTTTTTTTTTTTTTTTTTTTTTTTTAACACATACACTGTCTTCTTGCTCCTTTTTTGTTTTTTATATATCCTTGCGACAATAAAGTTATCTTATTGCTTTTTTTTAACACATACATATTTTTAACTTCTTTGTTTAAATAAATTTTTTCCCTGGTTTAATAATTTGCACGTCAAAGATTGTTCAGAAATTAGAAGTTAATTTTCGTAACAGAAACAAAGACACAAAAATTAAAGTTGGGAAAAAAATAAGAAAAAACCAGCAGTAATATTGAAGACGCTTATTACAAACTTTTGCATAAACTATAACAAATACATAATTAGTGTTCAATGTGATACATGTTATATAAATAATTTTGATAACTCAAAAAAATATATTCAAATTGATGGCTAGGTTCATTCTTTTAATATTATATTAATGGGTCTTTAATATACTAATCAGTTGGAATATATTTTTAATATTTGTAAGTTGAAAAGTTTTGAATTCAACTTTGACCAAATGAATTTGGCTATTGCATACTTTAATTGTTGAACGTTATTTGACAAATGTAACTGACTATTTACTAGTCTTAATATTATTGATATTTTCATGGATTTACTAATGATAAAGTTTGCTTCTCTTAGTTATCAGATGTATTCTATTTTGAACTATATATATATATAGCCTTGTGTTCATTTTAGTGAAGAGTGAAAAAAGGAAAAACTTTCTTCTCATATTTTTTTTTTTATTGTGGTGGATTTTCTTTTGATTAATCTTTGTTGTTTATACTCCTAATTTATACTGGAAGAGCTTGTCGAATCCTAAGGGATATACCTAATTTTATTCATCACGGTGTGGGCGAAATATTAAGGACAGTGTCTTTGACACGCCTCAAGCTAAATATTATTACTCTCCATAACCAATATATTTTTTTACAACAATACATACATCTCCTGTACAGATTGCTAATATCTTTTGCTAATCAACACTCTGCTTAAGCTAACTATAAAAATAAAAATAAAAAGGCAGCGCGTGCAGTGTTGTAGACACTTATTAATTAGAACTTCTGCATTAGCTATAGAACAGATACAAAGTTAGAACATTTCCTGTACAGATTGCAAAACTTTTGCTAATCAAAACTCTGCTCAAGCTCACGAGCCCTTCCATTTTTATTTGTTTCTACTGTTTTTGGAGAGGTATGACGGTTAGGATTTTCTGTTGGTCAAGGAAAGAATGGTGGAAACCATCAACTTTCTGTCGATGGGCTTGGTCAAATAAGCATCCATACCAACCTGTAAGCATTTTGCTTCATCTGATGACATTGCATGAGCTGTCAGTGCAACAATGGGTATGTGTGTTCCTGTCCCCATCTCCGCTCTTCTAATTGCCTTTGTTGCTTCATAACCATCCATCTTCGGCATCTGTTAGCAGAAATGTTTCTAAAACTCTTAGAATAATCATCCGGAGAGAATTAGAATTATACACGCAATAACACATTTCTATATTTAGTATCTCTTTTAACTATAAACTTCCTAATTTACCCTTAACGACATGCTCTTATAGCTATAGAAATATCATGGCATGGCATGTTCAGAACCACAAGTTCTAAATTCTAAGAGTACTTTTGGCACATGCAAAAAGTCTTTATTTCTTTATTGAAATCCGTGGCCAATCAAATATTGTTGTATAAGATGAAAAGGAGGGATTATTATGTAAAAGTCGTGAACGACTTACTTGACAATCCATGAGGATCAAGTCATAAGGAAGGGAATCAGCGCTTTCAGCTTTGGGGGTAATTGAACTGCCTTCTTCCTGAAGAGATTCATTTCTACATTCATCAGAACTAGACATGGGTTTTAGTGCATCCACTGCCTGCAGTCCATCTCCTACAACAACCACTTTAGCTCCCAATTTTTCCAGCATTATTCTAGCTACTCTTTGCAGCACTGGAGTATCTTCAGCAAGCAGTATACGTAGATCAGCTAGAGATTTCTGGTCTGCCATCTTATCTGAGCAGGCATTAGTGACCTCTTTGGTGGCAGTGCTTGTCAAATGACGTTCTCTATTCCTCATTTGTCCAAGATCATTCATGTCCGAAGTGTTTTCTTCATTGAAGTCAATATAGTAGTTATTTAATGTCCCAAAATGTGAGAGAGAGGCTTTGGCAAAATTTTCTTCCCTATTTTTTTCAGAAAGGAAGGCACTTGCACATTTTTCATTTCCGTTATCTGACTTGTCAGAATCATCTGAGCAGGCAATGTCAGAGTGGTTAGGATCAATTTCAAGACAATCATGCAAATCTCCTTCTACTGTTGCACTGTCAAAAGAATGCAGCTCAAGATTTTTTTCTTTTATAATAGCTTCCAAAATCTGAATCATTTTCCCTTTATATAGTGGTCTATTGACCATAACTAGGTGTCTCCTTCGCAGTTCCATCTTAATGGTACTGGGGGTATCATGGTAAAGAATCCATGCAAACTTTGCTCTGCCGTAGTATTTATCAAGAAAATTTAGCTGCTCCTTCCATATATTTGTGCTCAAGTCAAGTATGCCAATGTCTACAACTATGACAAGAAGTGATGGGGCACTAGGATCTTGAATGCTCAAATCTTCAGGTTCTAAACATTCACAAGGTTGCAAATGGCTTTTGGAAATAGAAATCCCCTGAAGAATTTGAGTGAGCTCATTCCAATCAGATGCTCCGCAAGTATGCACCCCATTTCTCTCTAACCACTGGGACATTATTTCTCTACTCATTCTGCCATTGAGTGCAAGCAACACCTGCATTCAAGTTCCATTATGTACAATTGCAACTTTCACAATCTTATACTCCCTCCGTTTCAATTTAGATAAGGTAGTTTGACTCGGCACGAATTTTAAGGAAAAAAAAGAAGACTTTTGAAACTTGTAGTCTTAAAAGCTTAAGGGGTAAAAGTTTTGTGAGACCCTGGCATTTGTGTGGTTATAAAAGCTTCTCATTAACGGTAAAATTGGTAAAATGAAGAGTTTAAAGTTGAATTATTTCCAATTGTAGAAATGTGTCATTCTTTTTGGAACGGACTAATAGGAAAGTGTGTCATCTAATTTCAAACAGAGGGAGTAATCATTTGAACTCAAGGTACATGAGGGTTTTCAAAAGTTCAAAGTAATTTAACCATTCTTAATGAGGGTGCTGGGGACTGTAAGGGCTAGTTGGAGATGGATCATGATAAGATAATGAAGTAGGGATATCACATGATAAAGTGCCAAAAAAGTACTTTGATGGGTGCTTGCAAAGGGAAGAATCCGTATCAATTATACATTTGCCACAAAGAATTGTATGAGGGAGCGATCACAAGGGTGAGACAGGAGTGGAGATACGAAAGAGCTTCCCATAACCGTGAATTTATGCCGATGATCTTCCTTGAGTCTATACTTGTTACATATTTATGGATGAACTGACCACTACCATACATGCTGAGATTAAAATGTACATGCTATTGCATATAATACTGTTTTAATTGACAAAACTAGCAAAGTATTCAACCAAAAGTTGGAATATGGAACACAAATGTAGAGCGGAAAAGTTCTAGGATAAGCAGAAGTAAGACAGAATATATCTGCTGCAAGTTTAGTCCCATAACAATGGAGGTGAACTGAGATTAGACGAGATTGTGTGCTTAAAATGAAGGCAATTTAGATATCTAGGTTCAGTCATTAGAAGAACAGTATGATAGATGAAGATGTAATACATAGAATTCAAATAGGATGACTGAAATGGAGGAGTTTTGCAGGCTAGCAAAGTAAGGTGCGACTTTTTAGAATAATCAGAAGACCAACAATGTTACATGTGTGTAAATACTGGGCCTAGGTGTCTTAGAAATTTGAATGCTATGATGGACGTGCAGTAAAACCAGTATATACAGGATTAAAGATGATCAAGTCCACAGAGAATGCAACTAACTCACGCAGATGTATATGACATAAGTAATTAGATAAGTTAGCCTAAGCTGGTTTGGTCATGCTCTGTGTATTCCGACAAATACATCATTGCGTAGGTGCAGCACTACAGACACATCATTTCGTAGTTTTACTTACCCTCAGTTTATGTTCTTCAAAATTGAACTGGCAGTGGTGTCCAGTAACTTCTGCAGGACAGTTTAGTTGAAGGTATAGTTGCATCACTGTCCCTGGTCCATTTTTCTTTACAACTTTAATCCCTCCACCCATTTTGTTAACCTGCATATCATCCTATCATCATTAGAAACTGGCAAGGCAGTCAATATTCTTCACTTGTATGCTTAAAGCCTATTCCAAGGGGAACCTTTTTAGAAATGATGAACAGTGTGGAATTTTGGTTTGAGAGTTGTTTATGCCATCCATTGGCTTGTAAGGAGCTTAAGACGTCATCAAGTCCAGAAAATCATAAAGATAGAACTTGAACTCTTTTTCAAGCCAAATCCAATTTGAAACATTTTTTCTTGCGAATTCGAAGTCTCAAATTCCTGAAACTTATTTATTTGAAACAGGAAAAAGTTGAACTCACCAGGGTACGTACAATGCATAGTCCAAGGCCAGTGCCACCATGCCTGAGTATGAAAGTAATCAAACAATGAAATATATTTAGTTAGGTATTAAATAGCTTTAAGGTGTGCAGGAAGTAAATTCATTCAGTCATACATGCATACTGCTAACTAACTAACAAAGTTTACCCAATAAATGAAATTGATGTGAAAACTGCTTACAAGCGAGTTGTTGAAGGATCAGCTTGCTCAAAACTTTCAAATACAGATTCCCATTTACTTGGATCAATTCCTAGAGCAACAAAAAGGAAAATATCCAGAGAGAGAGTTAATATGCAGTAGCAGCAAGTGGGGAAATAAGTTTAAATGGTTATTT